TGCTTTTTGAAATCTTGATGGCTCGGGTTCTTTTTCCACCAAGACTTGAAAGTCTTTTTGGTCTTGTACTCTAAAAAGGAAAATTCCAAGTAAACGCCTATCTTTTTTTTGCTTTTTGAAATCTCGATGGCTCGAGTTCTTTTTCCAAGACTTGGAAGTCCTTTTGGTCTTTAAGTCAACTTAATTAATTAGTACTAAGACCCGTTTTGGATTGTGAATCACGCACGCCATAGTGTTGGTTAATTTTATTTCTCCCTTTCACAAATCTTTTGCCCCACCGTAATACTATAGCTTTGACAATTCTTGTGCTACTGTTGTGCAACGTGAAGACGAGAAAAGCCCATCTTTGCCCCCAAAAGGCTAAATTCAAAAAATCATCTATTAACTTTCAGTTTAATTTCAGTTTCATCTATTATCTTTGAATTGTTTCAATTCTATCTATTATCTTTCACATTTATTTCAATTTCATCTAGGTAGTTAAAGTTAACAGAAATCTTAACGGAAATCTTTTTAAATTTAGTACTCTAACTATGTTTCTTTTAATCTTTTAGTCCTTAAATTTATATTCACAATAAAAATAGTTTTTATTCTTATTTTGCTAAATGTGTTTTTCAGAAAATTATTTTACAGAGCAGACTGCATGCAGTCCACCCTGTAAAATTATTTAAATACCCTTAATTCTATTTTTATATTATTTTTTATGAACATTTAAATAATTTTATAAAACAGATTATACACAGTCTGTCCTATAAAACAGACTTACTTGTGAAATTTCTTATTCTAAACTTATTGAATTTTTTTGTTTGAATTACAATCTATCTCTATAAACTATTTTTTGATTCATCATATTTTATTAGGATTTAAGTGTCAGTTTTTTAAAATTCAAAGGACTGCTCTTTCCTGAAATCTAACGGCAATATAACGTCATCTTTGTACGGTAGACTAATTTGAAATATTCTTCAAAGTTTCTAGATCATTTAGAAATGAAACAAACTTTCTAGACTAAAATGAAATTAAACTGAAAGTTAGTAGATGATTTTTTGAATTAAGCCCCCCCAAAATACAAGTTTTAAAGTTCTTGCGCCGCTATTATGCAACGTGGAGACGGGGATCTTGGGAAGTAACACTAAATTAACGTGGGCCACGTGAGGTTGTTTAAGCTCTGAAGTGCAACCTCTCGCCGAACTAAAATAACGTGGCCCAATGAAAGGGGGACGGTCGACCGGAGAGTGCGGGAGGCGAGTGCCCCCTAGCACTGCTCTACACAATATATAATTATATATAGAATTAAAATTATAGCACAGTTTACTAAAAAAGTATATAATATTAGGAATAAAAGAGTATTTTCAATAAGAAACTGTCTCTTATTTTTTGCTTTCTTGTCTATGATACGAGGACACAATGTGGAGTTAAAGGGATTTTTTATTTATTTATTTTTATAAGTCGAATAAAATAATTTTAACTTTAACTTGTTACAAAACCTTTGAAAATCTAATATTGATAATTTTATTAAAAGTTAATTTAAATAAAATAAGAGAATAATACATATTAGTTTCGTTCTAAAAAAATTAGAAACTCAATTTATATTTAAAAATTAAAATCATAATTTAAAATTAAAAAAATAACT